ATCAGACTCCGCTTCTGATTGAAGGATCGGCTGAATCTACCGACCGCACGGTTCCCGGCGAGTGTCAGAATCATTGCCACATTATTCTGTCCCTCCAGGATTTTGCGATGTCACGATCGCAACTATTAACTCAACTATAGGGGGGGGGGGAGTAGCGGTCGTCTTATATGTGCATGTGTTACCTCGCACAGACTTCACTTGGTTAAAAACTTGGTAGGCAATGATGTTACAAGTTGCGGTGGATATTTTACAAGCACGGACAAGGTAAAGCGCTGAATACAGGGTGCAGATGTTAGAGACAGAGAGAGGCGGGGCACGCCGGTGTGTTTACCTGAGGTGTAGGCTTCTTGTGTATCTGAGTGTGGGGAGAAGATAATTCGGAGGAAGGTCCGAAGCATATTTAAAATTTATAATAATTATGTTTCTGGTGATTAAAACCTGCTGGTTTAATGTGAAAAAAAATTTTTTGCCGATTTTTTGTCAATCCCGATGCCTGCTCAACCATCGCCCATCTGTCAGCCGTTGCCGATGGACGATGGCATTGTCTGATCCTGAATAGTCAAAGATTTGATGCTTCAATGGGCGGAGCCTGATTCGACTGTCAATCTCACAGTCGAAGCTTCTCAGTGAAACAAAGATCACGCCATTTTGGCGATATGGGGGTGCTCAACGTCTGATTTTACATAGAACTACCAGTTTTCTCCCAGTAAGTTAATATATAGCCTGTTACAATATACATTCCAAAATTTAATGCTGTAAATAAACATGTAAAAAGAATAAAACTTTCAATAAATGTTTTTAAAGTGTGTGAATAAATCCAAAATTGTAATCCTAACCCTGGGTCGTCAGTGCGCGTGTGTAGGCGTAGTGTTTATTTGTGTAGTGGCAGCAGAGGAACACATGCTGAGGAGACGGAGCTCCAGCTTCACCAGTGCCGAGTTGTCCGCACCTCGCGGGACCTTCGGATACTTTATCACCATCGATGAACCACACAAAGAATATTATATAGTTTTTAAATAGCCGGCTACTTGAAATAGACCCGCGAGAAACCGCAATGTGCATGTAGTTGTTGGTAGTACGGCATGCACGCAAAACTCTGCACAAGACTGGTGAATGGCAGGCAAGCGAGAGAGAGAAAAGGGTCTTCAAAAAGCCTCGGTTTAGCTGGAAATTTACAGCGTAAGATGAATGAATCGAGACTGCAGCCCTTCAGCTTCTCAAGAAGTCCCTGTGTAACCCTACCCCGGCTCACTATTGCTGTGCACAAAAACACACATGATTTGACTATATGTGGACTATAGCCAGAACTTGAGGATTCAGGGACAGCCCTATTGGTCAGTCATGAAAGGAAATTGTGATTGACACACAGAGTGGCATAAATGCATGGAGAAAATCAGACAAGACAAATCACTGTGACACAGGCTGTTGCATCCCGGTCAATTGCAAGTGCTGAAAAATCAAGGAAAGCTGGTTTAAATGTGCAGGGTTAGGGTTAGGTCTGCGAAATCCAGGAGGAACTGTTTAATGATTCAACTATAACTCTAAAAATATAGTATGAAAACTATGTTAGAAAGGGATTCCGAACACACTCATATTCCCTTAAAGCAGAAGTATAAATCAAGCTTCAGTTTCGCATGTGTTCGCTAACCCTCCGTAGCACATACAACGTAGTCCTGAGGCCAGGCCTCCTACAGCCAGTGTTGCATGTTTCAAGTATTGGGAGGGAGTGTTTTAGCAGAATTTGTAGTTACCCTTTAAGGCAGAATAGTGAGTACAACAACACACCCACAACACAACATAGAAGTTTTCTGCTTGGTTCCACCTTTATATCAACACCAAAAATTTAAGAAATGGAAAACAGCTGCAGAAGGAAGTGTAAAGTTTAATCGACAGTGGAATTCTAAAGTCACAGTTTGCTTGAAGTACCAGTGCAGCACATTAGATATTTTATATACACTATTACAAAAAGTAATTATTTATTTCTGGAACCAGCTGCAAAAACTTTACACTTTAAACATTCATATAGTAGGTAACATAGGTTTCCACTGGGTGAAGGTGGTGTGGCAATGCTTTTTTCTGTAACTGACTGGTCAGTTAAACTCAACACATTTTGTTGCAGGGGATCAAAGTTAATGACAATGTAACCTAACAGTATGTCGCAATATGGCCACTAACCAGGTTACTGCATGTAAACCGAGGAAGAGGCTTCACAAGCTCCGCCGTGGTAATTATGCCGCCTTCAGTTATTCAGTTCTACACGATAAAACACAACGGCCTTATCAGATGGGGCTCTTTAGCACAAAATCTTATCAAATGTGGTTACCTGCTTGTTGTCATGTGCAGCTCTGGAACATGAACAAACAAACCGTCACTCTCACTGCCTCTTTTACCTGCGCACATACACACACACACACACACACACCTTCATCTGCCCCCCACTTAGCCCATCTGCGAGATCACAGCAGAATGGCAACATTTATCCTCTATTGAGAGACCCGTGCTAGGCGTGCTGGAGAGATCCCCAATCTGCCCTGAGATCTGTGTTTCTCCCTATGGCCTGTGAGCACCGTGTAATTGGGCTCAAATTGGAAGCGGGATCTGAGCTTGTTTATGTAACAAGCATTTTGTGTGATAACGCCACTGTGTTGTCTGGTTTGTATGTCTCTTTTCTCTGCTGACTTGCATCCAAATCTCCAGTGAGGCTCTGAGGCAGCAGGAGTGGCCATATTTTTGATGTTGGCCAAATAAATCATTTTAGAAATAATTTAAACGGTAGAATTTGAAGAAGAATTTTATACCTTTATGCTGCAGCATGAATTTCAAGTTATACATCCTTAATAAACCTATTACTCTGTGCCCCCCCCCCCTTATTTAGCAGTATGTTTTCTCTGAGGTTATTTTAGTAGAATGGCTACAACCTGGCGGAGGATTTTAAGCTCTGTCTGCCTGTATTCTTTTGTGTCTGACCTCAGAGATCTCGCTGAGAGCCCATGATGAGTCATAGCTCAGTCTGGAGCCTCTGCATCACAGCGGGGAGTCGGGCATACAGAGCAGCTCCCGCATTTTACCAACACACACGAATACACAGTCACACAAATTTGCACATGCATAAAGGCAGACAAACAGACAGGAGCAGAAAAACTGATATGAGGAAAGATTCACAAGTAACATGACTGTACATATATAGCGTGTATGTGCATTTCAAAGCTAGACAGAAATTGCAGTACAAGGGGGAGAGTTTTCAAAGATGCATGCATTTGTAAGTGAGCTTCTGAGCCTTACCTTCCAATTAACAGAAATGAAAATTCATGGACACACACACGCACACACACTCGCAGACATTGTTATTCATAATAATGCCTCATTCCCAGCAGCAGATTATCTTATTGTCTAACCCTGATCCTGTAATATGCAGCACTGTGACGTTCCTGTGATCTTATTCACTTTTGCTGGAATCGTCGTGAGCCCTCCACATCCCTGATTAATTTCACTCGGCGCTGTGATTGAAATTCATGCTACTACCTAACACACCGCTACATTAAGACAGTTTCCGCTGTTGTATCCCTGCCATCTCTCGCCGCGCAGTATTTGAGTTTCATCTGTGTGACTAAAGAGCATGTTTTCCATTCTCCCACCCCTGCACCTCCCGAGACTGCAGAGGGATCTCAAAAGAACAGCATGCTGTGATGTATATTTCAGCTACTTCCTTCAGCAAACCCTATCTTAAAACACCCTTTTTTTTCTCCCAATCTTTCTTTTCTTTCTCTTCCCTCATGTGCTGCAGTGGCGGCTATGTAGTCGTGACACCGACCCTGGAAAATGTTTGGCTGTGGAGCTCCTGCGTCGGTGAGGCTCTTTTTTTCATCTTAAACAAGTTTCTGCCGCTCCCATGATCAATGACTTGGGTTTGAGCTATGTGATACCACGCATCAGAAGTGAATAAAGGGGTGCAGAGAGGAGAACTGTCTCCAATTTACACAGGTGAGCCTCACTGGGAGTTTGAATGCATTTGGCCTCCAGTGAGTGAAAGTCTAGATGAGTCATGTTTCAGACACATTCTACTTCAAGGAAATAAGCAACATGTGCTGCAGTCCATGAAAAATGCCAGATAGTACACTTACAGTTGCATTTAAAAAACAAATCAGGTGTATCTGGACCTGCATGTATGTTGTGAAACAGATACTGCCTAGTGAATTCTCCATACCTGCACAGTGGGGAAATGTAAGCAGAAGTATTGTAGTTGAATTATTTACAAATATGACTGAAGAGCTGTGTAACTGTATCTTTGAAGAAATGCCAAGTATGTAATTAAATTTGTAAATGTGTAAACAAATCTCTACATCTGTGTTCTGATTTGCAGGTGTAAATGTTTTGACAAATCTGTAAATGCATACATATATATTAATGGCTGAAAAGCTCCAAGAGCTGGAAATACAGACAAGTCATCAGTTACAAATCAGACGGCCTTCTCCGTTGCCTGTCTTTTGCTATTTACAAATGTGAGTGCTCTACACATTGTCCTACTAGCTGGTACAATGATGCCAGCTAGTAGGACAACAGGGTGTCGGTGGCGACAAAAGCTGTATTAAGTTACTGCTAATCCAAACCGAACATTTGTTATTGCTGCAGCCTCACGTTAAAAGCATTTAACTGGAGGTACACAAATGGACTTTTAATATGTTGTCACAGGAAATTAACAGCCTTTGTCAGTGGGATTAACACTAACTAGCTTTTGTTCATCCGAAATGAATCTGCAAATGTCATTTTTGACATTTTTGACAGCAGATCAGTTTGAAATATTGCAGGCAGTAATGGAACAAGTATAATGGTTTTCGGTTTTAGTTTTGTGAGTTCCTATTTTATTTTGAAAGTGTCCTTCCTTTGTGTGTCTTGAGTAACTTTGCTTTCTATCTTTGTGTGCCTTGTTGATTGTGTGCTAATGTGTTCCACCTGTGTCTAATCATCCTGCCTTCTCGTGTGCTTGGGTCAGTGTGCTTGTCTTTTGTTAGTTCGTCTTCATCTCCCATCAAGCATCCCCTTCTCTTTCCTCAATGATTTGTGTTTTTTGCTTATCTTTTCGATTACTTGAACTTTAGATTTTTGCCTGTGCCTGTTTTTTTTTTGATTATTTGCCTTAGGACTGCCTGCCTCACCGTTGGTGTAAGTGAGTTCCTCCTTTTTAAACAAATTACCTTCAACTGAACTTGCTTTGCCTGGTGTCCTGCATTTGGGTCCAAATCCCCTGTTCCCTGTTGCGACGCTGGAACTGAATTGTGACAACAAGAAGGAGCAGCTACAGTGAGCTGTTACACCAAGAGCTTTAGGCGACAGGCTGCTCACCTCCAACTTCTCAGTAAGGTAACAACTCCTTTGCTGCTCCCAGATCTCTGTGACCTGTAGCATTAAACTGCACTTGCTGTTACCACCAGTCACCACAGGTTTCTCCAAATCAACAAGGACTGAAATCACAAGAATTACAACTCCGCAATTGGATGTTTCATGACGAAATGCACCGTGGGAGTCGTAGTCAAGCTAGAGATCTTCCTGTAGGATTCCATTGTAGTCTGCCTTGCACTGGCACAAGTGCAGCCAGAACCACTACACTGCCCATTAATAGGTGCGTTTGACTTCATGCGGTGCTGCGCAGAGCTGACTTAACGTGATGCATGCTGGACTTAAAATAAGGCATGCTGTTTAGAAATTGTGCCGACTTTCGCCGGCGCTGCAAAACGTCACCATGTCACATGACATTAAAACCTCGTGGGAGCAAGGCAGCTGCAGGCACCCCGCCCCTGCAGTCACCTGCAGCTCACGTAAGACTGAGCTCAAGCTCCAAATCCACTGGATCATTTCCAATAATGCAACTTGACGGAATGTCTCATTAGACCATGCCATCAATATGACATCATCAGGGTTATTTTTTTGCAGAAGCTCTGACATTACACACATGATGGATAGTACTCCTCATGATTCAGTAGGTGTGTTTGAGATGATTGCGGCTGACTTTTGCCAACTTGATTGTCAGGGAGAGAGATATGGGACATGGAGACAAGATAAAAAAAGGCATCATTTTTAAACAAGCAGTAAGTTAATTAACACATACTCCCACCACACACACACAAAGACCTGTGCTTCCCCTCAAACACACATCTATTTTGTGCCTCTTAAGTGTTGTTTCCATGAATCGTTAGAGGCTGAAAGGCAAACTGAGGGATAAAAACAGTCCACTGAGTCGTACTCCTCTAGATGACTAGCTTTCAGTCAGAGGAGCTCTGGTAACGTCTGCTCAAGTGTTTACAGTGCAGATTCTCATCTGTTTGATCCCCAGCATCATCACACTGTTATAGTTTGATTATGTTCAACTAAGAAGATCCTTTTAAAGGCTTGAGGAATAATGGCACACAACTCAAAAGATGCCATGGTTGGGTAGTTTTTTATCAGCCTATTTTTGGATTTCTTCTTTATAAACTAGGGAAATTGAGTGCCCTGTCAAAGATGGCATTTTTCCTGCTTTTATTTAGATTTTCTGCATAAATGGAAACTGTCATAGATATTATGCCACGAGAAGATCAAGGTTATGCATTTTAATAGAAGAAAGTTTTCATGGGATTTGAATTCTCTCTAATCTAGTTTCATAAAATTCAAACACATGCTTAAGGTTACTGAGAGTAAGCGACAGTATCTTCCGTGCTTATTTTTATATATTATAAAATTTCCTTTTCTTCTATGTGAGACACAGAAAGGTGTGAAATACCAATAAGACTCAACAAACAAACAAAAAAAACAAAAAGCAATTCCACACCTGTGGAATTCATGTGCCGTCTTGCACCACAGATGCTGTTAAAATTGTCAGCGAATGCAGCACACAAGGGGGTAAGGGCAAAGAGTGGTAGCAGATACAGCAGAAGAAAAAAATCTATGTTCTTGAAATCCCTCATATCACATTTCATCAGCAGTCTACTTCATATGTTGAGCTGGAGAAAATGGAGAAAGTGGGTTTTTATGGCACACCCCTGTAGAGTAATCAGAAGCAATGGCTAAGCAGAAGTGACAGCAGCGGTTTGGGATTAGGGTCAGTAGCTGCACACAGCTCGCTGCTTAGAGCGGGAAAGGAAAGGGGGATGAAGGGGTGTGTGCCAGTGGGCAGGGGCCAGCTGGTGGGGGAGGGCCTCAAGGCCTGGGTTAAATCAGAAAGTTTCATTCCTGTACCTATCATAAATAACCATAGACTGTATAATAGAAGAGGACATAACCACTGTGATGTCACACATTGGTTTGTGGACTACTGTTTTGAAGCCTCAAGTTTGGCACATTGGTCGTCGCCATCTTGGTTATTTGGAAACAGAAGTGACCATATTTGGATGAGAGGGTGGAGCTGGGGAGGGAAACGCATTGCTACGCCTGATTGGTCTCCATGTAGTGACTTCTCAATCACAAGGTAGCCATACACTGCTTTATCATCTATTTTTCTCTAAATGGGAACATAATTTACAAAATGAACCTCATGCCATATTGAAGAAGACCTAAAACTAGCGATTGGAACCATAAAGTCATTAGGAAAGGGTACACCGAGGTAATAAATCAAGTAAGAATTAGGGTCATTATGTCATAGTTTTATACAATCAAAATTTCTAAATTCTTTTTGCAACCAGTGGAGTCGCCCCCTGCTGTTCATTAGAAAGAATGCAGGTTTAAGGCACTTCTGCATTGGCATCACTTTTCAGACCTGGAGGTTCTCGCTTGGAAATAGCACATCTGCAGCTAAGGCTGATTAACCATCCACTCGCCTGGAAAGGGAGGTGGTGTGCTTTCTGACTCATGTGCAGGACCACGTTAATTAGCAGGTGTCAGAGGACTTTTTATAAAGTGAAGATCATGACAGGACCCTATTTCACTCTGGACTCTTTGTGACCTTGTGCTCATTAACTGGGTGCTGCAATCAAATGTTAATACTCCTCTGAGGTTTTAGATAACGTTCGGCCTGTAATGCAGCCATAAATGCTAATATTTGGCTTACAGTGACACTCCTGATGGGTCTTAGTCCTTTTGCAATCAGTTTATTTTGGGACTGAAAAGGCACAAGTTCAAGCAAATGAAAGAGAGTAGACCACTCTAGATTAGAAACAGCCTTGGTATGCTTGGTATTCGATGCTTCTTCCTCTACCCTACTTAACCCACAATGTCTATTAGTCTTTATTTTTGTTATCTATTTTTTTATTAAATCAGGTTAGTCCCACCGTGGGCAAACACAGTTCCTAAGAAGAATAACCATCCACAGCAGTGTAATAGACAACATAGGACAAAATGAGGGAGATACAAACAGAAACATATAATATACACACGGGAACAACTAAAATTGCCTCTAAGGAGTGAACACAATCAAAGCCTTGAGTCTCAAATACATTTACCTGATATAACCTTAACAAGTACTTTAAATTCAGTATGTAGTTTTTCCATGCAGATGAGGCAGACTTTACTGTAAAAATAACAGCTGTCATCTGGTAGTCTAAAAAGTTCAGGTGTGATGTATGCCTTTTTAGCATCAAGAAATCATCACATCAGAGACATGGTGCAGAGAAACCATCCCCATGTCCTTAGTGAAACAATGATCAACACATACAACAAAGCTTATTAACGATTATCCACATGGTGACTATTTGCAGACCATTAATTCTGCGACTGACTGCAGGGGGGCATTAACATGTAAACAAGTATGTATTGCTGGTGGAGCTAATTTGAACTGTTCTTTGTACTGTATGGGTAGTCAGATCAATAGCAAGAGATCATATGAACTGATAAGTTTTTCATGTAAAATTTTAAAAATAACTATAGCTGTCAAATGACGTTCAAGGTACATGTTTTTATCATTCTACAACACAAGGCTTTCAGGGCTCTATACGCTAACCTTTTCCCCAAGGAGTACACAGAGAATTTAGGAGCACAGTGACAAATGTTCAAGTAACAGAGTTTATTAACAAACCATTCATTTATACATATCTCCTTGTGTGCAATTATGATATCAAAACCAGTGGAGGACTGGAAGGGAAGTACCCTATAACACTCGGCATTGGCCTTAAAATATTGACAAAGCTTTTTAAAACATTGCTCACTCATCACAATGATGAGAGAAAATACTCATCACAGAAAACTCTACTGTGATTGGTGCATTGCTGCATATGGAATTTGGGACCTGATACCCCAGGAGCACCTATGCATCTCATGCCACACTTTATGGAAACAAGATTAAAGAACAATATTTATAACAATGACCGTGAAATAGATGTAAAACAGAATGAGGAGAAGGTGTTGCTGTTAGGTGGAGGAGAGCTGGAAGGAGCACCTATCGACCATGGCACTGGTGCCTTTACAGCCCGTCCTCTGGCTGACCCACTGTCCTTCACAATAGTTTTCATCTGGACAGAAAATATGTACATAAAATTGCATCAGCCAAAAAGATCAAGTTTCTATTTGGGTTTCGGAATGAAGCTGTACAGTTGAATCCAATGATATTAGGTAAGCGTCTGGGGTACATGGTTGCCAAAACACCACCCAAGACCACATACTGTATCTACTGCTTCTGAGATGCGAGATAGAGTGATCAAATCCATCACCTGTTTGATGGGTTATATATACAGTACATTATGCAGTTGACCACTTCCTAGGAGCAAAATCAATGTCATTTAGGCTATAAGAAAAGTCCCTCCCAACGCCTCCCTTCTTTGATGAAATCAACTGAAAATTATGTTTAAAATTATTAAAATATTTTTCCCAGAAGCCGAGGTGATGTTTTCAAATTGCCACTAACTATCCTAAATCTAAACATATTCAATTTAAAATAATAGGAAACAAAGTCTCTCCGGGTGTTCTGGCTTCCTCCCACTCTCCAAAGACATGCAGCCTAGGTTAATTGTTTAATTGTGGCCCTGCGATGGACTGGCGACCTGTCCAGGGTGTACCACGCCTTTCGCCCGATGTCAGCTGGGATTGGCTCCAGCCAATTTGCTGTCAACTGAATAATAAATTAATCCATGCTTCAAGCACTATGATCATTTGTATTTCGCTGCATAGATGTATTTTAATAAGTTGTTTTTTCTTTAAATTTATTAGACCGTTTTTATAACCAGTGAAGAATTCTAATGTTACATTTCGATGCTCCTCCAGTAAATTGGTGGAAGACATGTCAAAGTGGGCTCTCAGATCACATTGATCAGAGCGATGTTTGAACATATGAATGTCGGAGACACACATAAAGGGTCCCACCGGAGCTAAAACACAGGAATTTAATGATGCATAGGTGCAGCGTGGGCCGCGTGGTGACTGTAAGAACTGTGATTGGTCTTCTGTGGCAGCAAGCTTTC